TTGTGTGGTTGTGTTAAGGGGAAACCAACCGACGACCATTCTGAGGTTTCCTTTTTTGGAGATCCTTGGGGACAACCCCGAAACAAAACACCCCCGAGCCAGGTTGAGAGCCCCTCCTGCGTCTTGCCCGCCGCCACCCTGGTCTGGTCCTCCGCTCAAAACGCTGCAAAGCCGTTTTCCCCGCTATTTGCAAATTTCTGGCATTGACCTCTCTTGACCAATCATAAGTAATATACTGTACGGGTCTTGCGGCTGCTGGGCCGAGCCTCTCAAAAAGCAATCAGCTCGTTGCGTCATATTTTGACAAAGAGGCGTCTAATTTTGTATGGTCAACTGGCAACTGCAAGAGGGGAATTCTGGAGTTCCTAGTGCCACGTACCAGCAAAGTTCATTATTGGGACTCCCCAACTTCGCAGGTGAATACACAAGCGTGGGAGCGTGACTTCACTTCGAGTGGCCGAAGGCCGTTGGATGAAGGGAACGCAGGAGTGACAGAAATGTTTGTCCCCAGAAATGCTGCTGACTATATGCAGAATGCGTGCTAATGCATCTGCGTGTCTTTTTGTCGGGGATGCTCTTTTGAATAGCTTTAAAGGGAAAATCAAGGGAACCCCACCGATTCTTGGCTGTCCGAATTGAAACAAACCCGTGTAAAGGGCAGCACTGACTGCGTTCGCAGCGCACAAAGAAACTCATACACAATGTCTGGCCCTGCTCGCAGTCAAATGGGGTGAGCTCTGTCAATCCTGTATGTCCTAAAGGAAATTATTGAGCGTCAATCGGTCAATCGGCGAGATGCAGTTGGCAGGGAGAAATTCAAACATGTCACTTCCCCTCCTGCTGCATAAACAAAACAAACAAAAACCGCATCATCCATAGTCACGTGTCCCCCCCCCCCCGGGAACGGTGCAACCAGGAACCGACAGCTATGCCCTTGGCCCCATGCACAGTTTGAGAACATGATTGTTGGAAACAGCACTTCTCTGGAATATAAAAGTGACATTCTTGTACCTTTGTATTCCCTTGGAATCAGTGAACATGGCGCAAAAGGGCGACGGTTTGAGGAATTGAGTGTATCATGGCCTACATCAATGGATTTGAATGAATAGACACACGCGTTGGGTGTGGGAACTGAATTGATTTGGGCGACGTCCTCCACCTGCCACAGCAGCTGGCGCATTTGCTCCTGACTTTCTCCAAGGGCGGCATGGCCGCAAGGCAAAAACGACCTGGGGTATCCTCCCATGTATCAAGGACTACGACCAAAGGAATCCACTTCAGCGAGCGGAAAACAAATGCTTGTGTTTACCTTAGGGACTTTTAGCACATGGACAAGGACAAACACCACCAAGCCTGAAGCACATCCTCAAAAACAAACACCACCATGCCACGAGTGAAGCATTAGCCTGCCTCATCCTGGTACTTGCACATCTGGACTGCAACCACAAGAGGCTAAGGTGGCCAAAACAGCGTGCTACAGCGAGGGGGCAAAAATAATAGTTGGCAAACCCCAAACAGCCCATGTACTTTGCAGGTTGCTGACATGGGGCCCTCAACATCACACCGCACAAGCCACATCTGATTCGCAACACACTTTGCGACCCGAGGACAATTGTACGAGATTCCAGAAGGCAGGCTAAGGCAAGCAAGCTAATCTTGACAACTTGACAATGCTTCGGGGTGCGGCTGAACGCACATGCACACACACACACACACAAACACCTGCTACTGTTGCCGAAGTGTGAGAAACAAGCACCCGGCTCAAAATCGAATGCAACGCTTACACAGCAACACCCACAAGCTGATTGCAACGGTATCCTGGAAGCATGTTGAGATCGGTACTGGTTCATAAGTTTTGCATACGTCTAATACCGTCGCTATTCATGTTGTCTCCATTGACAGTAGCACGCACCATAGTCAACAACCATTGTTATAAACATCGAACCCCTGAACATAGTAGTGATAGCACTGAGCATAACAACTACAACTACTAGCTGGCCCACCAGTTTGCTTTGTGATTCACGGAGCTATACACCCTGATGCAATTTGGGCGCCAACTCCGCAGTATGGACAAGCGGGAACAAACAACAACGTCAACCTCACATCCCCTTGCCGTTATAAACAAGTACAAAGGGATTGTATTAAGCAGCATCACCTAACAACGTCTCCCTTGTGGTTTACCTCAAGGGGGATTCCACGAATGTGGGAAACAATTAGCACCCAAATGACACAAGAGCAATGTGCTCGCGTCCTCCAGTTTGCTGGCAGCAGCTTGGGAGTGCTCCTGGGCGAAACATGCACCCTATTTTCAGCAGGGATTACGCCCAGCGGCCATAAAAAGAAGGAGCCCGTTGTAACTGAGTTCAAAGTGCATCTCGGGCTGAAACAAAAAGAGCACTGCAGATTGCTGGGTGCTGAATTTGAGGAGAGACAGCTACGCATGGCAGCAAAGGTCTGCAACATCAACGATAACTGCCAAACATAATATGAGTGTAACATGAGGGAGTTTGGTCAGGGGCCTTCAGCATGGGTGAAGTCTTTTTAGCCCCATGTGAGCGCGATAAGCGGAAAGATGTGCTGAATTGAACACACCCCGCTTTGACCGGACCATACTTGGACAATAAAACCTCGCTTTGACCTTGTGGCCTCTTGCGGGCTTGTCTCGAAATGGGACAACGGCACCCCTCAAGATGGTTGGTTTCGCTTTCGATTCGCTTTCAACAGGCCCAAAACATGGCACCCTGCAGAGCACAAGCACGTGCACTCACATTTTAGCTCGGGATCTGCTGACCAAAACCTTTCTTCTCTTGGGCAGACCTCATATGAACTTTGTTCAACCCTTCCATGGTGAAAAGGACAAACCTCCCCGTAGTGCTTCTTCAGGAATGTGTTTCTTTTGGGGCAATGACAAGCTCAGCCGGGGGCAAACCGGGCCGGAAAAATGAAAAAGCAAACTCTGGACACTGGTTCAGCGCAAAGGGCACCTTGGGCAGCAGGAACCTTCGGTCAAAACCAAACCTTGAGAACCCAACTCCCGCAACTTGGTAGGAGTTCAATTTGAAGCCATGATGGAATTTAAGCATTTGAGTGCTCCATTTCGCCACCGGCCTCCGAAAATGGCAAGTGTCCTTGTTGGTTTACCTTGACAACAAACCGGGAGTTCCCAAGAAACTGCAATGTGTGCATCCCAACCCCCCCCCCACCCAAGTTACCTCGCACAGGCGCTGGGTTTGGGCGGCGGCTTGCCGCGCCTCACTCCTGCGTTGGCGGAAAAGTCATGAACTCCGCAAGTCGTGTGGGAAGAGTTACATTTATACTATTTGTTTTAGCTTGCTTTTATTCTCTTAAAATAAATAGCACTTTTTGGTCTTCGCAGGGCGTTTACCAAACCGAATCCAATGGGTGGAAGCTTGTTTGGATCCCCCAAACAAGGCTGCACAGAATGACCCGGAGGGGGTTCGAGGGCTGACAAGTGAAGGAGCGTTCATGGCATGCATTCCACCCGTTTTGGAGTTCCCAGAGGTAAAAACATAGACGCGACAAAAGTGGCCCCCAGTTGGGGAATCTCCCCAAACAGCTGGCAAGTGACGAGAGGGGACAAAATTCGGAGTAACGAATTCATCCCCTACCGATTTGACAAATACACCCTACCAATCAAGATGACTTTTCCTAAAGCCAAATCTCTCCAAACTAAACTGCCGACCCCAACTGCGGTCGTACTGCGGGGCTTCCCAACACAGTTCATGTTTGATTGTGAATTGATATACTGACAAAGTCTCCAACTGCTTGAAGCGAAACCGTTTTTTCGGATCGAAGCGGAAAACCCCTGCGACCCCTCTGGGCCTTAAAACCAAGACGCTTGCGAAAAAGTTTTCATCATTACAGGGGTAGGAATTGCATCTAGTAGGGTGAGTAGATTACAAGGGATGCTTTCTGCTTGTGGGGAAGCAGAGAGTTGTGGGGAGGACAGGGTCATACCAACTGGTGCCTGAGATGCACGCGGGGGCGCTTCCGTGCCGCCATCGCTTGTGTGACGTAAGTGACTTGCACCTCCCGCACCGCCTTCTCCGTGTCGGCGTCTCTGGTGCGCTTCACCTCTTCTCGCGCGGGCTGCTCGGCCCGCAGCCCCCTCCTGAAGCCGTCTCGCAGCATGCGTCCACTCGAGCAGCTGGTAAGAGACGTGCGCCCCGACGAAGCTGAGCTGGAAGAGCAGCTTGACAAAGTCTTTGAAGTGCGGCGTCCGCAGAAGCGAGCGGAGCTTCAGAAGCGAGCAAAGCTTCGCCATGACCGTGGTGATCGCCTCCTGTTTAGTTTGGGTTTAGGATTGGCTTGGCATAGGGTGGGTCTTAGGGTGGTTTTAGTGTGAGCGGGGTCTAGGAATGGTTTATGGTAGATTTCGGGATAGTTGATTGCTGGTTTAGGGTGGGGTTATTTAGGGTCGTTGGGACGGGCTTAAGGTTTCTTTAGGGTTGGCTCAGGTTTGGTGTCAGGTTGGTTACAGTTTTAGTTAGGTTTCAGGGTGGGTTTAGCGGTGGCTGAGGGTCCGGAACGTGGGTTTAGTTGGCTTTGGATTCGTTAGGGTTCGTTCAGGGTGTGGGTTTGCCTTTTGAGGTCATCACAAAGCCGAACAATGGCCCTATAAAGAAGCGCGCCGGGGGTCGGCCCCCCAATAAAAAGGACAAACACTAATGGAGAAAGTGAGCGATCAAAGACAAGGTCCTGCTTCTGATGTTGGGGGGCGCCGGTGATACTGGGAGTGCTACTGCTGATGCTGAGGATGCGGAACGCCAAAGCCACAAAAGGCACCAAACGCCATGAAAACTCGCAAAATGCCACCAAAGGCATCCTGAAGGGAAATAAACACACATCCTGCAAAAAATGGCCTCCTCTTTGTGGGCCCTTCCAATTACGTGTTAGCATATGTTCTCCCTCCCAACAAATGGTCAAGCGGACTCCCAGCATTTACGAGTTTGAACAAATACCCCCGCCCCTTGAGTCCCTCAGTAAGGCACCAGTAAAAGATTCTTCTCCCACACAAATCTTGCGGCCACTGCGGCCTTCCTCAAAAACGGACCCCCGCACGAGCAAAGGGCAAAAGCTACACCGTCCTTTCCCGCGCCAGATGCTCGAGGAGCAGCTCCTGACGCTGATCTGATTTTGGCCCAACTTCTGAAAGTTGGTTTCGTCGCCTTGTATGGGGGCGTCGTGTTTGGGAGGTTTGGGAGTCCCCTACCGTTGAGACACGTGCCTACTGTACGGTCCGTCAGTGGGTTAAGAAACTTTATATGAAGCAAGACATTAGACCCTCAAATGGTGGATAAACAAACTATTTGAGGCTCCCAAACTCTGAGCCAGACTCTACCAAACCTTGATTTACCTCGTGCTGCGCCTTTAGATGTACATCTAGCAAGTATTGCTGTGCAGGCCTGTCTCATAGCATCACTTTTTAGTCAGTTGGTAGTCTGTGTTGAGAGCGGAGGGAGATGGGATCGAATTCTGGCAGGAATGCAAGGGACGTGTCTTTGCATTTCTAATTTTTTATGGGCAACTTCCGATTTGTAGCTCACCCAATTCCGGGTCTTCCACTCAACTGCGCTGTGAGTAATCTTGAAGTCTAGATGAACTGAGATTCACGAATGCCTCAACGTGGCTCAGTAGTCTGGCCGCTTTGAGCAGGGAATTGATATGACTGGGATCTATGGGTACAAACTGGACTGATAGATTGGAGTGGAGTTATTTGAGAAGTATTGTTGCTCAACCTCAATTGAAATCGACACCACTGGGAGCTGCTACCGCACAGTCAGCCGCTACTTTCAAACTGAGTCCCTGGTTGCCGTTCAGTAACTGGACAAATGTCCAAAACAAGACAGATAACAGGGAGCCCCAGGATTTCGTCCAATATCTCCTGCCTTCACAATGGGGCTCTCTAACTGTGATATTCAGCATGGCCAAGTTGTATCATGTAGGCAACTTTGAACACTGGATCGTATAAACTGCTCCGAAAGGTACTTCAGGGACAAATCTCTCTCACAACGCGCGGCGGCCTCCACACATCGCTCCAAGCGGTTTGAAGCCAACGACTGCTTCACCTGCAACGACAAAGGAGGTCTAAGAGCCTGACACATGTAGTGCGCTTGCTTTTGAGACCTTGTACATTTACAATCTACAAGAAAGTAAGCATGCGTATGCATGATTGCCTGTGTGAAGGCGTGTAAATGTAGCCATCAATATAACTCTCTGCAGTGACCAACAATGCAAACAACACAGAACTGAGATTTCCCTTTCTCGCGAGGAGTCCTCATGTCAAGGGACTTTCCCTTCCACTCACATGGAAATGCAAGAGGGGCCTGAGGGGAACCCTGTGGGTTCCATGAGAGCATCCTTCCTTTGGGTTTCCGTTTCATCATGCTTCCCTGCAACCCAAGCACCAAGGGACACCGCCAAAAACCCAGAGATCCCAAAGAGGTTGATCTGACGAACCTCAATGCTCAAAACCTTGCTGAGTTCGATCCACTGGGGGGTCTGCGCATTTCTCAAAACGAGTAAAGGTTCCTTTTTGCATTCCTTTTAAGCCTTCGAACAGGTGATACAGACCCAAACAGATTGCTCATAGCTTGCGCAACATGGCCACGTGGCACTTGGTCTGAGCATCAAGGCGAAAGTTGTTGCCATCAAGTCACGTGTTTTGGAGATGGCTCCGGCGCAGGCCTTTTGTCAGTCTGCTGTCATTGGCAATCACAAGCCGTGGCCTATCTTCCGTGTTTACCCCTCTTTCTCTCTCTCTCTCTCTCTATCTATCTATCTATCTATCTATCTATCTATCTATCTATCTATCTATCTATCTATCTATCTATCTATCTATCTAATCTGTCTGTTTGTCTATCTATCTCTATATATATATATTTCCCTTTCTCACTTTTTACCCTCACCCTCTCTGTTTCTCTTGCTCTCTCCGAATGTCGCTCTCTCTGGGCTTCGCATTGCAATTAGAGTGTGTGTGTGTGGTTGTGTCAATGCCACAGGTGCAATCAGGTGAAGAACACATCCATCACCTGGATGTTAAAATATTGTCTTCCAGTACTCAAACAACCAACCTGCGAGCTGCGGGTCCCAATTGCTGATCCAGCACCTGCATCGGTCATATGGGGATTACACTCCTGAACGCTTGAATGTTAGATCGGCATGCATGCATGCGCCATATACACAACACACATATCTATATATAATACACACATTGACATACATATGTCATCTACATATTATGCAATATGTACGTATGCACACATGTTCATGTACATATGTGTGTGTGTGTGTCTGATGTATACGCACAACGTTATCCCTCCCGCTTTCCCATAAGACTCTTTGTCCGCACCTGGGCCTCGATGGACACAGAGCACTCCTGGCCCAAGCTCACCATCTCCTTCCGGAGCTCGTCGCGCACCTGCTACGAACACTAGGGTAAGCAGCTAGTGACCTCTCAAAGTGGGAAACAGGGATGTCTGCTTGCGTCAGGGTTGGGGTGGCCCTCGAGTTACAACCAAGCCTGGCACGTTTGTTTCATTCTTCCCTGTTACAAGCGTCATGCAACTAGGGACCCAAAGCCTGCAGGTTGGGAGCAACTTGTGGTCGATGAACCACATTTAGCGAAACTGTATCCAAGAAGGGAACAAGGTGGAATCAACTGAAGACTGGGTCGACAACACGACCTTTGGGATCAGTTTTGGGGGATTGGGTCACGTCACGTCTGCCATTTGCTGAAGGTGTCACACACACACACATACATGAAATCACAGATGATCCAGCCATGACATTTCTCTTTAAAACCACCAGGGAAAACAACTATTCCCTGAACACGTGAAAGAGATTGATTGACTCAGAGTTCCGTGGCACTATATATATATAAACTGCCCTCCATTGGGCAAACAATTTACCATTGGATGTCTCATTCGGATTGGCAAGGCCCCCCTAGGGTATTTGTCAAAATTGGCTGCAGTCCACCACACACATGTCTCTTTGGTTCCCCTTCTGTGTGGTTGACCTTATGAGACATTTCAAAGTGAGTTTGCTTTCGGTGGGAAGATGTGTCAAGAACAACTACACGGAACCCTGAACCACCAGTGACCTGACTGTTGAAACAGACCATGCTTCGGATTTTCCCAAAGTGGAGGTTCAGGCTCGTGAGTTGGTTCGCCGAGTTGGTTCGCCCCCACCAAGACAGCACCGGAAGGGGCAACCCACGATGCCCTTCACAGCCCGTGTAGGGTTCATTCAGAACCACGAAATATTTCTTTCTGTGATACCAGTGTGTGCGCCATGCCACATGCCCATGATAACACGGCAAACAATTATGTGGCCAATATTTATTTTGGGCATGCGTGTGTTCCTTGGTTCTGGATACAGTAGAATATTAGGGGCATTCTCCTTTCAGGCATGCGTGTGTTCTCTAACGGGCACGGTACCATTTTGGGCATCTTGAAATATCTCAAAGACAGAAAACTGCCACCCTTTTGGCAATTTACCTGGCCCCGTTCTATCCAAACCGAGGCCAGTTGGCCTTGGCCGGAGCTTTACAAGCCCCTCTATTGTTTGCCCTCCGGAGACGAATCAGCTCAACTCACCCCTCATTGGTATGAGGCCAGGCTAAAGTATGCCTTTCCGCTCGGGGTCAAGAGGGGCTAAAATCCCCAGTTCGACTCAAGCAGTTGGGTTGAGCACCGTCTCCTGGAATCTGGGTAAAACAAAATAGCCAGCCGAAAATAAGGGATTCCTGGGACCCTAGGAAACAATTTGCCACCATGGGTCCCAGACCTCCAGTGATGTGAAACAAGGGGCACTACAATTCTGCCCGTCTGCTTAAACTGTCTCTAGCAGCTGCCCAACCACCCCACCAACTGCTCCATCTATGTCGAATTTCCACATGTTTCTGGAATTGTGGTTGGTACGTCTGCCAAGTGAACAATCAATGCACTGTGGTTGCGAGCACTGCACAAAACAACTTATTATGAGCCCCGTTTCAAGAATACAGCCGGGCTTTCCAAATATGCCTGCTGGATGATTCCTGTTGAACAAGTGTGATCTGACGTTGTATTTGGCCAGGGAACGTGTGCTGAAAGGCCACCCTTGTATTGATTTGTCGAAATGAAAAGGAGGACACCGAAAACAAACAGTAAACAAGAAATACGTTGCGTTGGGCAAAAAGCGAACGGGCGCCTGCCTGCTCCTCGATGTCCTTGCGCAGCATGGAGATCTCTCGATGGACCTCCTCACGAGCCTAACATGGCAAATGGAGGCGTCCACCTTGTACAGTAGTCAACTTGACATGGCTGCCCTTGTAGGGTTTTGCCATTTTGCCGACAGGCAAGCATCAAGCAAATCATCAGCAAGCCTGCTTTTAGTGTTTACGTATGATATACGCTGCTTCACCGGGATCTTGATGGAACCTGGTGCTGCACTTGATGGCTTCAATGCTTTCAACTCAAACATGATTCTGGAATTAGCTGAGCAGCTGGGAGTGGCTACAAAAAAAACAAACAACTCAAGTGGGACCGGTTGAACCGACTTGTGAGGATGGCCATCAAGTTGAATAAAGGGCACCATGCCACTTCTTGGACAAACATATCAAAGGACTCCAATGGAAGTCGCCCATGAATTGCACACAACTGTGCGATGTTCCTGATGTTCGTTGGAACCCAAAACACAATCCCCCGTAATTGTCCAACTGGACCCCCCGAACTGTCCACAAGCATGAACCCCAATCGGCGGACCCCACTCCGCCGTTGTTCAGCGACCTTCGCAAGAGGGAATGATGTATTTTCTTTTGGCCCAGCAAACACAAGGGATTGCAAAGCAACAATCACTGATCGCCCAAATGGCCATCATTTCTTCAACTGTTTTCCCTGCCAAACCCAAATAAACACCACCACTCACGGCAGCCCCCCGCATTCGCTGGTTTGCGCCGCGAAAGGGCGGCTGGGTTCGAGCGAGGCTCGCCTTCTCCGCCCGGCGGCGCAGCGCCTCACTCGATGTCTTCAGCTCCTGCTGCAGCTCCTGCCGCGCCTGGCGCGAACTCGAAATCACGCTGCGGGGCTGTAGGGGGTTTGGGGAGGGAGAAAGGGAGGGTCTGGGCAGGGAGGGCAGGGGAGGGCGGGGGAGGGGGGGGAAGAACTTGGAAATGAAAAGCTAGCATGTCGGGTCTTGATAAACATAGGCCAACATTGAGGTGTTCGGGCGTTGATGGGTGGATGGGCGGCTGGAGGGAGCAAGTGAGGTCTTGGTGTTACAGCTTGAGATCTCCTGCCGCAGGCAACGGTGAGTGGCAATTCGAATTGGACAACATGGGAATGCTTCCAACTGAACTGGCTAACCCCAACATGGGCATTGGCTTCCTTTTGGTGCCGCAAAAGAGATAAGCTGAGACAAGATATACCCACACTCTCTCAGGTCTGTCCAACAGGCCACCTCAGCTATGGCTCGCTCCTTTTTCTGACTCAGCAAGTGCGACTCTGCTACCAAAGCCGTGTCGCGCATGACCAATCTGGCACACATGAACCAAGCACTGTCCTTGCGCAGCTGGATACCTCTTGCACCTATTGTCAGTGGCATTGTCGTAAATAACACAACTTGATGCTGCCTCCATCAGAACCCGTTGATGGTGAATCAGGGGTGAAAAGCTCCCACAAAACAGGGACTCCGCTGAGAAAGGAACGCTTGACCTTTTGTTGTGCCCAAAACGACATGCAAGGTCAACTTACGTCTGTTTGGCCGATGCTTGTCCAAAATCCCTCAAGTACTTTGCTTGATACACAGGGGCCAACATAATCCCCGACTCTGCGACATGAGCTCGTAGGGCTGTCAGGATCCGAGAGACCAACTTCAGTGCCAGGAGTCCAAACAGGCATATTCTCTTTGAACTCTGGCAATCTATCTGGAAGCTGACAGCCATCCGCTTGCACCGGCGTTGTTGTCCAGTGCGGCCGGGTTGCCCGGCAGAAGCAGTGCCTTTGCCAAGTCATGCATATGAATACCTCTGGTATGTATATCTGTTTTCTACAACAGACAAACACATTCCCACAGAGGACATGGGAAAATTTGAGTGCCCCCTGTGATTGTTTGCTTCTTTGGGCACTTCGGGAGGCCTCCAAAAGTCCTCCCCAAACTGCCCGTAGATTCCCAATCATGTAGTCAGTTGCTCATATTGTGAGCCATGGTCGGGGCTAAAATATGATGTTGCCCGACATGTTCATGGGAAACATACTAAAGTTCCCAAATTTGTGTGGGAACTGATGATTCCGTCATGTCCCTGCCAACTTGACATAGACTGCAGCAAGTGTTTGCTGAGTCTCAAATTTGTAGCGAACAATATTCTTTCCCTCGAAGGACACAGGGAAAGTTGGGTTGGCCACATGCTTTGTAGGATCTTTTCCACCACATCCCAACAACCAGTCGTGTTGCAAGTCACCCACTTGAGCTCCTGCGCCTGGACTGTTGGAACATCTGGCACGCCATGAAATCTGACAATAAAGCGTCTAACTTCGGAACAAACAAACGTGTGTTTCTGCTTCCCGCTAAGATCAGCTTCTCACACTGCGCTCTCCCGTGCTCTCGTCTTTCAACTGTGACAGGTGTGTGTCTTTCGCTTTGCCAGTGCGGCGGGAAGAAACGGCACCCTGTATGTCCCTGAAAGGAAAAACCACCCACCCAGAAGAGTCAACAATCCATTGGCATTAAAGAAGAAAAAAACACTTCCCCAAAAAACGGCAGGGGTGTAATCCCTCCTGCAACTGGGATGTCTGGGGACAAAGGCCAGGCACCACTGGTGACACAGTCGCCAACCGGTGAGACATAAAATGGGGCGGGCACCCTGCAAAACAGGGTGTGTGCATGAGTGCATGCGTACACATTCACATCCGAAAAGCAAATGCATCAGCAACGAAACAAAGCTACATAGGCGTTACTGATCTAAGCTGTGTGCTATCAACTGCATGGCCCAAACAAGCCAACTTCGTAAGATTCATCTCGATCGCTCCGCGTGTGGCTAGGTAGAGTCTGCCTTGCGCAGCCCCCGCTGAGCTGCTCAGAAGGCGTAGATCGCGTGAGTCTGATAATCGGTCACCTATGCAATTCGAGTGTCTTTGGTTTGAAGCGGAGCTTTCTTCGGTTGCGTCGAAGAAAAAACAAAAGGAAACCGAACCCAAAGCAGCAAGACGCTGAACACACATGTCAATTGTAGTGAGGAAACTATTAGAAATCCCTTTGGATCTTGAATGGAACGCAAAAATAACATTTGAGGAGTGCCCCTTTTGGAAGCACCAATCGTCTTCCCATATTGGACCTCTGAGGTGCGTCTGAATGAAGAGCCTGCACCTCTCACACCCCGGCGGTTTGCCAACTGCAGATATGGTATATGTGCAGTTTCGTGCTGTTTGCGAGAGTGACGGCCGGGTGATAGGGGTGCAGTTTGGGGTGCTGATTTGTGAGATTGACGGCCGGTTTGCGAGATTGATGGCCGGGTGCTAGGGGGCGTGCAATTTTGGGTGCCGGTGGAGGTGCTGTTTGCAAGATTGATGGCCGGGTGCTACGGGGCATGCAGTTTGGTGGTGGAGGTTCTGTTTTGCGAGAGCAACGGCCGGGTGCTAGGAGGCACATGCAGTTTGGGGTGCTGGTGGAAGTGCTGTTTTGCGACAGACGGCCGGGTACTAGGCGGCATGCAGTTTAGGGTGCTGGTGGGGGTGCTGTTTTGTCAGATTGATGGCCGGGTGCTAGGGGTGTTTTCGGCATCTTTGTGAAGAGTACCTAATGCTGACACATACCCAATGTAAACAGGATCATGGCAAACTTAAACAGTAATCCACGTGAACACCTTCGGCAACCCCCAGTAACCCAAATAGCAAATGGCAATCACTGCTTCATCCCCTTGACGGCACCTGTGCATTATTTAGACGTTCATCCCCTTGCGGAACTCAAGGCTTCCCCCTTTAAGAGGGTTTCTATACATTGAACAAATCTCTTTGCATTCAATGGAGAGCCCAGAAGAGTCGGAATCAAAACCTGGACATCGAGAAACCAATGGAAAGAACGAAAAAGAACCATATCCGCACCCATTTCCAGCTGGGACTGCCCCCTGCCATCCACTTCCCTCGGCTTCGTAGTGGCTCAAGAAGAACAGCGCCCAACACCCATCGATTTGTGGTTTCACCAACATGGTTGCACAGGTTAACAGAATCCTCTATAACCCCATAAAAACCAGGTAGTAGCACCTCCTACTACAATTGCCCTGCTCCAGTGTGGCTTACGGTTTTTGACCAGCCAGCCAGCTTGCTCTTTGCCGAAGCATATGTGCGCAGTGGCCAGCTTCAAGGCTGGTGATCTCAGGTGCATCATGGTGCACCCATCGCTTAGCTTTTGTTGCTAGGAAGGCAGTTCGGAGAGGACATCGTTTCCTGTCTCGCGCACCAAACATGATTTCCTTCTCATTTGGGGTACCTCTGCCCCCGCCGCGCATACCCAAATCCCCTCTCATAACCGGCCCGGAGTTCATCAAAGCCCTGTAAAAAACGTCAAATCCCCCTCTAGAAGCCGACCAAATCACCCCTAGAAACCGGTCAACTTTCCATCTAGAAACCAGGCAAGTCCCCGCTAAAGACCGGTCCAAGCTCCATTACTAGTCAAAGTTTCCCTCAAAACCAGTCAAACCCTTCTCACAACCGGTCCAACTCTGGTCACTCCCTGTCTAGAAACCAGTCAAGTTTCCCAGAAATTGCACCTTCGCTTGGCCCAAGCCCACTGCCGCTTGAAGCCATGTGGAAACGTGCGGAAATGCACCCACCCTCGACCTTGGAAAGCAGCTCACGCATTTCGGCGCCGATTCACACACTCTAACAAACACAACACTTCAAGGCAAACTAAAACACAGTTATATCCTCAGAGCCACCCAAAAGCGGACTGGCCGAGGCGGGCACCGCGAAGCGTTTACAATAATTCTCACGACTCTCCTGCAAATACACTCATGATGAGAGTACACGTTCCTTCCAACATGCTTCTAATACGAGGTTCTATTAGTTTGCGCGTGCAAACCAGTGTAAACGTCGCCTTTTGGACCACTGATTCGCTTCCTCTTGGTGAGATGTTTTGTTTAAGAGGAATCTTGTGGGGAAAGGACCCTATACCCGTTGTGTTCCGCTTTCTCCTTGCTAAGTAAGGCATTTTTGGCCTCCGTTTGCTTGCGGTCAAAGGGCGATGATCATCCCACTGGCGTTCACTGCGATGCCCGCCGGGGACCTCAGGAAAACAATTCCCCAGTCGCCAAGGTTGGGACAACCATCCAGGAGCATGTCAAACCAGGGGATTCCCATGAAAATCACCCCAAAAGGGTATCCTCAGAAAAAAAGGAAGAAATAACACACACACACACACACACACACACACACACACACACACACACACACATCTGCCAGGGTGCTGTGAGCGGTTCAAAAACGACCAAACCTCAAGAGGCCTGGTCAGGTCAGCTTTGGTTTGCCTTTTCAGGGTTGCCAGTGTTCTACCCCGTGCCAGGCATTTCGCACATAAGAGGAACGTTCACGATGGGTGAGGTCGCAACCCCGGTCGTGAGATCATTTCTGATCTGTTGCAATCCCTGCTGTTTGAACAGCCTAATTAAGCCTAACTAAGGCTTCCCTTTTCGAGGGCGAATGGTCTGGATGTTGAAAGCCATTTTGCCCCACCTCGGTGGCCCAATAATGCCTGGAACGTTGTTCAGTTGAGGCCTTGGTACAATGGCAAACTCGAGCTTCCACTTTGTCACAAGTTTTCCAACATTTACTGGCTCAGGCATCCCAACAAAAACCATAACATGCAGCTGTCCCGGGTCTTGGAGTATGTGTCCATGCGTCCACAGCCATCGAAGCTGAGGGTCTCAGGCCTTCGGCATTGAGAACATTGGGAGGTCTCATGTGGGAGTGTCTTTCTGGAGGGTGCCCTGTTTTGGATTGGTTTCGAAGCACATCCAAAGGAAAACCATCCATGTTGTGGGTCCCCGTGCCCCCCTATTTCAGGACACAACCGTTTGTTGATTTGCAATGTCAGAGTTAACTCAAACAAGGGTCTCCGTGCACATGCGCAAAAGAACAAGTGGCATCGGGGACTCCCAAAACTGGCTGGCGTCCTTTTGGTGGCCGCACTCGCGTG